AATGGTTTAAGGTTAAATGCGGCTAAAACTCAGTTGCTACCCTTTGCTTGCGAATCTGCAATGCATTTCCTGAAAATATACTTGCATCTTGAGATTAATGGGGAACCCATGTCGTTTCTGCCAAGGCCAGAAATTTAGGAATAACGGTGGTCGTCTCGTTAAGATTTAGTGAGCACATTTCAAACTTAAGTAAAAGAACTTACCTTTCACTTAAGACTCTATATGCCAATAAGCGTATATTGAACATTAAAGTTAGGAAAAAACATATTTTTTGTCTACATCGTCATATTGCCTCGTATTGTTTTACCCAGAGACGCCGTACGGTGCGTATAGACGAAGCTACCCTAATGAGTCCGTCTGCCATCGAACATAGGAATTGGATCTGTGTCCATCCACTTTATGGAAGATTTGGCGGAAGGATCTTGGTTTACGTGTTTAGAAAATCCAACTCGTGCAAGAATTGAAGCCAAACGATCATCAAGTAAGGCGTAGATTCGTCGAATGGACCCGAAAAAAAGTTTGTTTAGCGACGAAGCGCACTTCTGGTTGAATCGCTACGTCAACAAACAAAAGTGCCGCATTTGGAGCGAAGCTAATCCTCAAGTGTATGTCGAAACACCGTTACATCCAGAAAAACTGACTGTTTGGTGCGGTCTAGAGCTATGATTACTAACTCTTTCATTCCTGAATTGAATAACCATGACGTCCAGCACATGTGGTTTCCACAAGACGGCGCAACATGTCACACAGCTCGTGCCACAATCGATTTATTGAAAGACACGTTTGGTGACTGCCTAATTTCACGTTTTGGACCTGTGAATTGGCTTCCAAGATGTTGTGATTTAACACCGCTAGACTACTTTCTGTGGGGCTATGTAAACTCAGGTGCTACTCTTTGCTCGTGAATCTGCAATGCATTTCCTGAAAGGATACTCGCATCTTGAGATAAATGGGGAACCGAAGCGAAGCTAATCCTCAAATGTATGTTGAAACACTATTACATCCAGAAAAACTAACTATTTGGTTTGGGGCTTTATGGGCTGGTGGAATCATTGGTCCGTACTTCTTCAAAAACGATGATGACCAGAAACTTACAGTCAATGGTGATAGGTATAGAGCTATGATTACTAACTCTTTCATTCCTGAATTGAATAACCATGATGTCCAGGAAATGTGGTTTCAACAAGACTACTTTCTGTAGGGCTATGTAAAGTCATGGGTCTATGCGGATAAGCCACAAACGCTTGACCATTTGGAAGACAATATTCGCCGTGTTATTGCCGATATACGGCCACAAATGTTAGAGAAAGTCATCGAAAATTGGACGTCCAGATTGGACTACATCCGCGCCGGCAGTGACGGTCATATGCCAGAAATCATATTTAAAATGTAATGCCACAAGATTATCTTTCGGATAAATAAAATTCATGTCAATCGAATAATCCATCGTTGTTTTATTGCAACTTAGAGTTCCATACATCGAAAAAAAAGACCCCCTATTTCGGAAGAACGCTAAGGGTGTGTTATTAGATCAATAAAGTGCTGATTTGGTTTTTCGTCGTTTTATTAATTAAATTTCTATTATTACTTACTTCCTCTTTCTTTTGTTTTTATTTTATTTTTCTTTATTACGGGTTATCTTGTTACAAATTGTATTGTCAAAAAGATGTATAATGTATAGATGAATTGTGTTGGCTTAATGCTGAGTAGCTGACTTAGTTAGCTAAACTTCGCCCTTTGAGAATTTAGTATTGCATACTGTGTATTATTTATATCATGTATCTCAATTCTCAATAAAGATTATTATTACTATTATTATTATTATTGTTTGGATTTTATAGAATTTTGTCATTGTTAATTAATACTTATTCTAAAAACACAAGGACTGATGTAGATAAAACTGAATGTTAACCAGTTTAGTGACGCGGGTTGATAGTTTTGCCAAGGTCTATTTCATTTTATATTGGATCCGAATCAGTTGCCATTCTCACGCATTATGACCTCGCGACAAATTTGAAAAAGTCCACTCTATTCGTACTTTACACATTGGTAGTCCAGAATTTTTAATATAATGCGAATAACCCTGTAAAATTTAGTCTCGGCTCGGCAAAAATGGCTTATCAAATATCACATAATTAAATCGACCGCCGCAAGGAAACAAAATTAGTTGTGGAAATCGCGTGGCTATTCACGAATACGCCCCAACCCTAACTAAGTCAGCGGAGTCGCTGAAATATTCACACAATGTTTCACACATTTATTTCCGCTCGTATTTTCCGTAAACAATTTGTACAATTATCTCTCGGTCGCAGCAAGATGGTGCCGTGCCCATAAATAAGTGAGCAACATCGGCAGGACTGCAATCACTTCTCCCGCTGTCCTGCTACGCCCCGGTCCTGCTGCATAATTCATCCCGCGTTGTTCGGGGATTAACAAACCGCGGGATCCTGCAGAGTGTGAATTAGAGACTCATTTGGTAATCTTTCGCACGCCGGTCACAAACGAATTCTTACTCGAATTAAGATTAAACATTCATATGGATTGGTAGACCGGCCACTCAGATATTTAAATGGATTTTTTGGTTTTATTGCGTATTAATTATGTCGTAACGAGAAGCGGAAGCACTAATTAATGTCAGGGAGAGGTGATTAACGTTTATGGCGGGATTATCGGGTTAATGGGACCCCTTTAAAAACTTGAGCAAGTCGACAATAATTGCATTACTATCATAGTGGCTTGAAATGCAATTTGCAGTATTACACAGAGTTATGTAGCTTACCTAAAGATGCAATAATTAGGGAAGAAATACATTTTTCAAAAAGCTTGCAAAAAAAGGGTAGTCAAGGCTGTAGTAAAAAAAAATTAAGGAATATTAAAATAAATTAAAAGTAAATAAGTACATTCCAAATTTTACAAAAATAATACACTAAATTACGATCAAGAAACATTAGAGAAATTTAATGTATGTGGTCAAGACAGTAAATTTGATTAATTTTGGTTAGTTATTTCGTGTAAATATCTTGCTTAAAATTGAACCAAGAGAACTTTAAATCTGCCATCAATAACTAAATTAAAACGTCTTTATCACTAATTTTCAACCTGTCAATCCAGCTTTAGGAAAACTTTGCCACTAGAATATCTAGTTACGTAAAAAAGCATTACGTATAACTTAGCTCTTTAAAATAACTTGTTTTTAACTTTTGGCAGTAACGAAAGAGAGAGAGAGAGAGAGAGAGAGAGAGAGAGAGAGAGCAAATTGAGAAAAACTTAAAATACAAGTAAAAATAGACGAATGTTTAATTTCAATAGTCAAAGGCAATGATAATTTTTGATAGTGACTTAAGTCTTATATCTCATGTGAAAAAAAATTGACTGCCTCAGATCTTATAGTCAAAAACGTTTATCTTTTATAAAATTTGAGACAATTTGAGTAAGTTTTTCGTAGCCAATACTATTTCAGCCAATATTCTACCATACTGGTTCGTAGTACTGAATATGGGTCTTACAAGCAACCTTACTATACTATTTACAAATCTTCTAGAATAGTATATTGTGTATTGTCTAGTCTAGTCAATTGATCGTCAATTGACCACTTTTAAATTGACTAGTCAAAAAAAGGGTTTAAATAACATCTTGCAATTGTAGATTGTAATCTAACATTATTTAATAATAACCTGTATTTTATAACAAACTATTACGTGTTTGTGATGTCCAATTTAGCTATCACGCTCTTCAAGGAATATCCGATTACGATACTTAGCGATTAGGGGAATTCCAATAAAAATATCCACTCCATTTGGGTAATATATATATATATAAATTTCCTGGTAAAAAGTTTGATCTGTCAATTCCATAACGCTAGTAATAAATAGTATATATTACAGTATCCTGTAGAAGTTTTTTTGGAAATTAAGCTTGATGTGTTTCCTCGGCACAAAAATTTACAAAAAAAAACATCAAATTAGATACCCAGAAGTCAGTAATAGAGTAAAATAAAGTTTAATACATGTTGTTCCAATCAGACAGATAAGTCTCAGAGACATAAAATTAAAAACTCGAAATGTTTTTTCTACTCTCGTCTGTAAAATACCTAATTACACACCGATCTAGCGTGGGGGAAGCGTCACTTTACCACGTCAGTTTCGTTCCCCACGGATTCGAGCCACTTCGGACATTTTCTGGATTTTACCGTACGGGTTTGAGAGTAATCAAATGATTTCGAAGATATTTCTCACACCTTGAATTTGACGTTTGCCAATTCTCACGGTCATGGCAGTAGATGTATTCGTGTTGTTTTGCGAAAATGTACCCATATACTAACGGTCGTAGAAAAAGTATAGTATGCAACACGTTCGGTTAATTTCTTAAGTCACTCGTTTATTTTATTTATATATATTTATATTTTTATATTTTTTATTTATTTTAATAAATTGGTGAATCAAATGCCGTTTATCGCACTTGTTGCATAATATACTATTGTTTTATTTAAGTTTTAATATTTTGTGTGTTTAGTGTTTCTTGTTTTGGTTTGTTTTCCATGAGTTCTTCTAGAAACTCGCGATATTTTTAATGGCGGCATAATCCATTGGGTTTGTTATTGTATTATTTGGAATTGAAAAAATCTTCATCAAGTAGAGAACGGACCCGTCAAAACTATAATCGATTCGGAAATAGGCTGTACAACTAGCGAAAAAGAGAGAGAAAAATTTTTATTTCATTTTTCGATATCGCTGATGTTTCGCCAAACATGCTGCTGACTTCTTTAGGACGCTGTCTGAAACCACACCACAAGATTCAGCTTGCGCAAGTTTCGTTGAAACATTAAAATGACTAAATGATTAATTTTATCAAAAAATACTGATGGTCCTCTTTTTAGTGCTGATTTTCTTCTCATTTTGTTAAATCGAAATGATTTTTTATGTATTTTCAACAAAACGTTCTTGTTCTCGACTGTTTAAATAAAGTGACAGGTTTTCTTCAATTACTTTTTTCTTTCGCAGATGTAAATATGGTAGCGGAGCCAAAACCACACCAGACAGGAAGGAAACGACAAAACGTGGCAAAAACGGGCAACGATTGGTATGCATTATTCTACTTTATTATAAATAAAGAAACTCTAGCCTTCGATGAACAATGACAGATTACTGCGAGCTAAATAAATCTCATTGAAACTCATTGAAATTATCTCCGTGTCTACCAATGACTCATAATAGGAGAAATATTGAAATAATAGATAATCGCGTATGAAAAGTCTATTGGCTCACAACAAATTAACGTGATTAATTATTATTATAATTAATTAATTAATTAATTATAATAATAATAATCTCTCTTCGGTTTCTATCTGTGCTTACGCTGGTAAGATTTTAAAGGAGCATTAAATCTGTCGTTCGCTAATTTGCGGGCAATTTCTCAACGAATCTCTTTGATCTGGCCATTCATTTCATAGCTCATCGATAAGTTCGCATTAACCTGCACATAAGTTTACGTTATTTTTTAAGAGTTTGTTTTAACCGATACAGTCTGCAAAACGAACTGTTACCGTGCTTAGCTGTAAATAACCATATTTAATTAATTCGGCATTAATCACAGTTTTGATTAAATCAGTTAGAAGTTTTTGTTCACTATTGTTGTCTTATATGTAATTTGTTTCGAATTGCAAACAGTTCAACACTTCTGACCCCAAAACCTAAAATACAAATTTCGATAACAATTTAAATTAACAATGGAAAAAGCCATATTATATTGACGTGCCTGCTAGCATTTTAATTGGAAGTTTTACATTCATATAATCTACGACTTGAAATTCCGTTTAAAACATTTAAAGCTTGCGGATATTGGCTTTGTAATATGAATCTGAGATTCTGAAGGTTAAAGTAAAATTTGAAATAAATTGCAATGTAACCTTTCAGAATTTGTCGCCCTCACTTCCTGGAGAACCGGAAGTCTATTAGGTAAACTATTCTCTTAAAAAGTGACACTAAAGTCTTTCTGCTCTAATATAAGAAAAACGTTTTCAGCAAAAACTGAACATGTTTCGATTAAAGTTCATGCAAGAGTTTGAAGTTGGAATATGTTTGTTATAGGGCTATTTGAAAATCATGACAGTTACAAAAAAAAGAAAGCGATTTTTTTCTTTTTTTTTCAAATGAATTTTTCCTAGACAATTTTTGAGATACAGGTTCTTCTGAAAAATATTGCATTTTGCGGTACCCCTTGGAGCTTTTCTATCCAACTTATCGTTATTACTTATATTACTCCTCCAGAAGATGTATACGTGTTCAGGTTAAAAAGATATCGAACTATAGTTTATTTTTAAAAATGGATCACCCTACATATTAGTTTGCACCTGTTCTAATTTTTTAAGTTAGTAGTTGATAGGTTTAGATTATTAATACATCCATAGTTCACTCGTGTTTTGGGAAACAAATTAGACGAGTTAACACGGTTCAAGGCACGTGGTGATTCTGCAGCCTGGCTTTATCTCAAACTCAACTCAAAACGCCACGAGCCACCACTGGAACAAGATGTTTATTTTAAAACAGGGGCGTTAAATCTATAAAAAAAAACAAAAATGTGGCGCACTCGTCAATATATGATTAGTTGTAAGATCTTGAGGTTCTTATCGAAATCTTCTCAGTTTTAATTGAAATTGATTGAAAATATATGGGCCTTTCGAAAATATGTGATGGTTATTTTAAAAAGCAATTTGAAAATTTTATATTTTTAATAATTTAGTTTAATTTTAAATTAGTAGTTATTATTGATATTGCAAATTTAATTAAAAATCCGTAAATTTATAATTATGTATATAATATTAATTATTTGGAAAGTTGTTGTTGTTGTTGTTGTTGTGTTGTGGTGAAATTGATTGAAACTCAAAATTAAATATTTCTAATTTTTTATCTTATTAAAAAAAGTAATTAATATACAATTTTTTAATAACTTCGACTCTCAAAATTAACTTTACCTTAAAAAATTCAGTTATTGATTGTGCAAAATGCACATTAAAATTTAATAAAAAATCGAGAGAACAAATAATTTTTTATATAATATTCGAATATTTGCTTAATTAAAGGACCCTTCTAGAGGGTTCCTAAAACCTTATTGATTTGTTTCTGCTACATATACCTATTGTCCCTTGTATATCCGATTTTGTCGTTTACAAAGCTTTTGGAATTTACATTAATTCTTTTAATATATTAGAGGTGTGCTACAGAACAGCAACTAATTATCTGTAACTAAAAATGTTTACCATGGGAAGGGGTGTTGATCCGTGGACGAGCCAAAAATTATAACAGTCTGAATGGAGCCCTCAATTTCGCCTTCAAAATCCCATATTAATTCTCGGATCGCATCCGACAAAATGCCTCTAGATTTGGGGCCGAAATGGAATATTTGATTTCTAATTTGAAACCAGAAATTGCCTAATTTGAATTATCCTGGCCGGATTAAAGGTACTGATGATCTTTAACGTGATTATTAAGAAAGTAAATCAAACTATTTAATTTATGCGATAAAATTAAACCGAGCGGAAGGGATTTGCCCACATCGAAATTTTAATATTATTAGCCGCTTTTAATAACAGAAGTTATTTGCCAATTCGGTCGGATAAATTGAATTAAACATTTTTTAAATGCGATAAATATCGCGATTCGGTTTGTTAGCGAGTTCGTTGTCGAGTTTGATGTGGTTGTTATTATTACAAATAGAGGAACAAAAGGCATACACCCAATTTGAATTCTCGTAATTTTTGCATTTTTGACAAGGTCGAATTCCCTACGCTATGCTTTTAATCACTTGGTGATATTGACATAAATGTTGGTAAAATTTGCTTTTCATTTTCTTTGACACAATAACCAAGGATAAAGGTTTTTGCGCTTTGAACCTTGCTGATGGAGAAGCCGTACGAAAGAACCAATTAGCAACGTAAAAGAACCTTAGCAGAGAAAGGCACTTCAAAGAAGGTTTTTTAGCTCTCTAGATCAAGAAGAATGGCTACACAAAACTACCAGAAACGCATAATAAAAATTGACGACATCGACTATGCAATACATCAGGAGCAGACACTGAGATAGAACTGCACATTCGTTAATTAAAAAAAGACAGGTTATAAATATAAAACCACTAACTTTTACCTAGAATGTTCAGACCATCCCCATTTTAGCGGTGGATTACTCCAGACAAATATTTTTTACTAGATATTGTTTATGACTATCTCAGACAACTTTATACAAAATTTTGTTCAAACCTTGAAACAGTTTTTATATTTGCTGATGCATTAAGATACTTGACATTTTCCACACTAGATACTGGTACGATCCCAATAACCATCGAATCTCATATCAATCACACTAAGCGACTATGGATTTAAATTGCATTCAACTTCGATTTTATATTCTGTCAATTCTGTGGTATTGACTATTTATCGTTGAAAAGGAACACCACACAGTTATAGGCCTTATCTGGCGGATCCTTAATGTCTTCCTCGACATCTTAATCAGTTATAACATGGATAGATTGCGTACAACAATTTGAAAGAGTTATGGCATATAACGTAATTATGCAGAGCATATGGAGGAGCATATGGATTATTATTTCGCTTTGAATTTAGTGATTAACTTTGATATCTTAGAAATAACAGAGGGACTGAAGCGACCTCAAACTGAATATATTTCAAATAAGGTCTGATAGAAATAAGATGATGCAATTTAGTGTTATACGAGGTAAACGGCACATAAGTTTGTTTTTAGAGAATGCCAGGTTATGGAGATGTAGATAATGGCAGTATCATCTATAAAACTAATAATGTTTCTTTTGTTATTTATTTAGCCCATTAATATTCATATAGTTCAAATTTATAACTTGTTTACAGTTCAACAGTAGCAATTTTGCAATTCACTTAAAACAATTTCGTGATCGACAGTATCAAAGGCTCTCGAAAGATCAACCAAAACGCACAAATATGTAATTCTTTGATTTACGGCCAGTTCCCCACCCTAAAGTCGTATTGTCGCTCAGAAAGTATATTTTATTCATCAAAAAAATATCGCTAGAATTGATCTTAGTATTTTTTTGGAATATATGAACTGTACTAGAAATTAATCAGTTAATTGTGTTGTCTCTAGGATAACATTTAAAAAGAGGTTTTATAACTCCAATTTTTAGGCTATGGGGGAAATCTTCCCAAATAAAATATATATATAAATATAAATATATATATATATATATATATATATATATATATATATATATATATATATATATATATATATATATATATATATATATATATATATATATATATATATATATATATATATATATATATATATATATATATATATATATATATATATATATATAAGCCATAAAGACCTTTCAGAACTCATGTACACGTTAGTGTTATGACTTGCGCAAAGACGTAATGTTTTTTGATTTTGGGTAAGCATGACTTTTGATTTTTTTCTGTTTTCCTGTGTTTCCTTGTGATTATGTTTAAAATTAAATTGTTGAAACTAGTTGGAATGCAAGGATTATTTATTCGTATAAAAATGGAAAAATAAAACATGCTCATTTTTCTCAATATACTTAATTCTTGGAATAAATCTTGCATTAACTTATTACTTACGTATTACGTTCAATAATTTATCTTCACAAGCCCTTGTTATTTGATTAGAAGGACAAAATGTATTAAATCGTCTGTGACATTTTTTCTCAAAGTAATATATAGTATCTATAATTAAACAAGTTAATAATATCAAATAAAGCCCAAAGACACGTTCAATCCCGGGAGGTTAAATTAATGCGGTCTGCTTGAACTTTTCTTACATCAGTACCTCTGTAATGTTCCTTGTTTGAGACCTTTGAAATCGTACTACAATAATTTGTAATTTTGATCAAAGTTGATTCTTTCTAGTATTGCGAAGTTATCACAATAATAAGACCCTTAAATTATATTATAACGAACAAACTCCTCCTAGTCGCATTGCAAGAGAAGATTTAAGGCAATAAGGGACCACGACAAAGGCGAACCCTAGGGTCGCAATAATCAATATTTTTTTCTTTTTTTTTTTTAA